CAACTTCTCCCTTTGAGCGTGCCGCTCCGTAACCCCTCACCACACCACAACTGCAGTGCCCTAGGAGCAAAGGGTGGCAAATGGCTAAAGGGGTAACAGGATGACAGGGCACCTAGCAGGGCAGGGACCACTCCCCATAGATCCCTCTGCCGCCCTCCATCACACTGTCCCATAGCTGATGACTCAGAATTATATTTGCTGAGCATTTACTGCTCTAAGCCCCTTACATGCACTGACCCACTGAAGCCGCTTTTATTCCCAGTGTACTGATGAAGGGACAGCTGCACTCCTCAGCATGACTCTGGATGGGCGAGCAGACCATCAGAGGTGACTGTAGAGCCTGTTAGCCATCCAGATGCCTGGGTTCCCCCAGTGACTCAGAATCAGAAGGTGAGGCCCCGCCCCTGAGTATTCCTCTCTCTAATAATATCCCTGGGTGGTCCTGAGGCAGCCAGGCTTGGGCACCCTGGACAGAAAGCTCCGTGGGCTGAGCAGGATTCCTTGGGGAAGAGCTTTGACAACGGGGCATGGGGGCGGGCGGTAGGAGAGGCCGTGAGGGAAAGAGGGTGAGGAGGGTGAAGGTGAAGACAAGTTGAGGATGATGACAGTAAAATGACAGGTAGCTCACCAGGTGAAAGGTACAAACTGCCATTCACAGGGACCACAGAGTGTGGGAGAGCTGGGGAAGATGTCCAAGAAGAGGTGGCATCAGGCTGCTGGGAAGAGAAGCATTCTAGATGGAGGTGAGGGAAGGTGAGAGGGAGCCAGATGTGTGCAGGGGACTGAGGAGGACTCATCTGTTAGAGAGAGGAGTAGGGCCGGCCAAGTGGCACATTGGTTAAGAGTTGGCTTGGACGCCAGCTCTGGACAGCAGGACCCCAGTTCGGATCCCACATTAGGGCCAGTGACACTGCGCCCTCTACAGCTGAGATGGTGAACAGCAGCTCAACCTGGGGCTGGGCTGCCGTGAGTCGCCAGCAACAGTGTAGGCTGCAGTGGGGTTGGCTGGCAGCTGGCGTGAGCTTTCAGGAGCTGCCATGAGCTGCCAAGAGCCACTGTGAGCAGCCGTCCAATGGCCAGTGAGGTACTGCCTCACCCGGGAAGAGCGCAATGATCACAATACCAACATGGGTCAGTGAAGCTACGTCTTCCACAATGAGACTGAAGAACAAAAGGTCAGTAACTTGTCTGTTCCCCTCCCCCAATTCCCCAGCGCTGTTCCCCTCCCCCAATTTCCCAATAAAATCTTTAAAAAAAGAAAGGGGGAGTAGAGGCAGGAATAGTGGGCTTCAGCCAGACCATGCAAGGCCCTGAATAACCAGGAGGAGCTTGGACTTCAGCCTCAGGCAGCAAGACCACAGGGTTTCTGAGGAGCAGGCAGGAAGGCAGGCCTGTGGTGGTGACCACCAGCAGGGGTCCGAGGGGCCTGGGTTGTGGCACACTTACCCGATGCGGCTCCCTTTGGGGAGGGAGGGTGCAATGATTGGGCCCAGTATTAGCACCCAACTACCTGCCCACACCAGCCCTGAAGAAGGTGACAGAATGACGGTGCCAACCATTTGGCTATTTGGGAGGAGCAGCTGAAATGGTGAGCAGGCAGCAGTTTCTCTGGGCTGGCCAGTGCAGAGGGCTTGTCTGCAAGGCCAGAGTAGCAGGCCCGCCCATGGGCAGGAGCCCCAAGAACCGGATTTACCTGACCTCTGCCCCCACCCCCAGACACTGACGACACCCTCCCTGACATGCTCGGCACCCTCGGCCCTCAGCTGCAGCCTTGCCCTGGGGGGCTGTGCAGCCTCTCTACCTGCCCACTGGCAACTCGATGAAACACCTCCAAATAGGACTCTTCCTTTCCCCTCCAAACCCGGCCTCGGCTTCTGTTGCTGAGCTCAAAGGCTCCACCAGCCACCAGTTCTCAGCCCGACCTCTTCCAGCCCCTCCTTCACCACCCTGCAGTCTCCCACCCTCAGGCACTCCTCCCCACCATGGCCTCCTAACAAGCTGCCCGCTTCTACGCTTGCCCTCCGTCCCCAACCCCTACCCCATAACCTCTCCCCACAAGGCAGGGAGAGAGCCTGTGAACGTGAGTCACCTCATCCACACTCTGCAGCCCTGTTTCCCGCCCTCTTCTCCATCTTCTCCATAGCCGGCTCCCAGCTCAGAGCCTGTCCAGATCGCCCAGGGCCTGGCTCTTCTCCTTGGGTCGTTGCTCAAAGGGTCTCTCCCCTGAGGGCCGCTCTCCTGACCACCCGGTGTGCAGGAAACCACACCCTGTGTGCTCACGCCCTTTTCCTGCCTTGTTTTACTCCACAGCACTTTTTACTCCCCAACCTTATATTATGAATTACTTATGTGTTCTTCCATCTATTCTGTTAGAGTTCAAGGTTGAAGAGGGCAATGAGCTGTCTAACTTATTCCCCCACAGACCCTGGGCACGTCGCACAGGGCCTGACACGAGCAGGTGTTCCATAGGTCTATGTTGAAGGAGGATGAACGAGCCACTGAACCAGGGCGTGACCTCAGGGAGCATTTGTGCAGCCCTGGTGTGTGCCACAGGGAACACAGGGAGCGAACCAGGCTGCATCTGCCCTGGGAGCCCCACGGTCTGTGGGGACAAAAGAGACCCACACCGAGGTGTACTTCCAGCCCGCGTGCGAGCAGTGCTGGGGTGAGCACATGTGCACAGGCAGGGGAGCACGGGGAAGGGGCCACGCATAGGGGGCACCCCATCCCCACTCCCCTCCCTGGCCCTCCGGGCCCTGAGCCACCTCCCACTCCAAACCAAGGGGATGAAGCCACACTGATTCAGGTGTCAGTAAATGTTCCCAGTGGCATGTTCATCCCTCCTGCAAGGAAAAGACCTGGGCAGGGCTGTCAGGGAGAGGGGGCGTGATCCTACCAGTGAGAGGTCAAGGCCAGGCATCTGGGACCCCAGCTTTGCCTGCCCTTCCCCCACCTCGCTGCCTTGCCCCCCCACCTCCAATCACAGGAGTGCTAGAGGAGCAGGCAGTGGAAGCAGGAGACAGCAAGGAAAAACCTGGGCTTCCTGGGGGCTCAGACCTTTGATGAGTCAAGTCTCCACTCCTCAGCATGCCTTCGAGACCCCCCATGACCAGCCCGCCCCCTCCTGGCACATCACCCCCAAACACCCACAGTCCCCTGCCTCTAAGCCTTTCCTTAGGGGCCTGCCCCTCCCCTAAGCCCCTCTGCCCATCCTAACCCTACATACATCACAGTATTTATTAATGACACACCATTGGAAACAATGAAAATATACAACAGAGAACCGCTAAAACATGCTATGGCACACAGTGGCTGGAACATTACACTGCCATTAAAAATCACATTACAGAAAAGTATTTAATGATGGAAAAACGACCGTGGTATAGTATTAAGTGCAAAAGGCAGGTTAGAAAACAGTAAGTACAGTTTGATCCCAATTATGTCATCAACACATATTTTGTAAAAGACTGACAGGCAAAACACCCAAGTGCTCACAGTTTCTATAGAGAACACACATTTTTTAATAATCAGAAAATAGAACATTTTGAAAGAATCCTACAGTCGTCAAGGTTCAGCCCAGGCGTCCCCTCCTCCAAGCCCCGCAGCCCCCAAGGAAAGTGGCTCCGCTCTGGGTTAGTTTCCCCTCTGTCTCCCTGCCTGCTGGTGCCCAGGTTGTCTGCCTGGGCAGCTGGAAGGCTGCTGCGGCCCCTGCTGAGGGTGGGGCAGGGCCCAGCCAGCCGCCGCCATGACGCCCCTGCCCCTGGCCCTCCCATCACTCTGGCACCTTGCAGACACCACTGACTGCATCCTCTCTCCCCATCTCCCAGCAGCAAGTACAGGTCAACCTGAAGGAGCTAATTAGCTGCTCCTCCCAACCAGGACTGACTGCCTAGCAGGACTATTTTGATGGAGAAAAGTGGGCTTCCAAGTGAGGCCTAGTGCCCGGGAAAGAAATGCAGCGTCTGCTCCCTGCCCCATCCCACCAGCTTCCCGGTTGGGAGGACAGTGTCAGCTGAGCCTCGGCCACATCCACAACTGTCACCAGATCCTTCTGGGGAAGGGGTTCAAGCGCACTGCCCTGCGCAGCCACTAGGTCTTCTTCACCTGAAAAATGGGGATACCGTTCCTGTCCAGCCTGCTCCTCGAGCCTTCCCCCAGCATTCCTTCCGTTTAGCAAAGTTCCCCGGTAGCCTTCTCATGGGTCACAGAGGCCTGTCAAAGACAGGGGATTGGCCCAGATAAAGGGCGGAAGTCACTTGTCCAAGGTCACAAGCAAGCCAGGGGTCAAACCAGGCAGCAGCCAGGTCCCACTCCTCCCTCGTCCCCCACCTCTTTGGGACTTGCTGTAGTTTCTCCACATTCTCTCATATGGGACATGGAGTGGGAGGGCCTGTCGCCTCCCACATTCTGGGTGTCCTGCTCCTCATGATACAGTCCGAGAAGCCATCCTCTCTGCTCACACAGAGCCAAGGTCACCTGGCTGCCAGTGCTTGTCACATGTACATACCTGGGGCCGAGCCTCATCCTGCTCTGACAGCGTCTGGATCTGCACACTGACTCTGGCATGAAGCCTCATTAAACTCCACACATCGCAGCCACTGCCAGCCTCTTGACAGTTTCTTGGACCCCGACTGTCTAGTTCACCTGTTCCCACTCCCTCCTAACCTGGAGTCAGGCACACATTTGGTCAACAATGTGACAGAACCAAGGACAGAGTCCTTCAGCTCCCACTAGAGACCTCCCACACCACACAGGAACCCATTATCTGGTGCATCCGTGAAACCGTGTCACCCAGAAGAATGACCCAGGCTTCTGAGCTGGCTGCCAGAGCCATTATAGCACAGGCTATGGGGGGCGGAACGGCCGGCTCAAACCTCCCGGACTGGACTTCATGTGTGGAGGAAGAGAGGAGCCCCCAGAAAGACTACCCCTCAATGGCCTGCCTACAGCCTCTGCCTGGGAAACTCCACTCTGCCCCGTGGCCCAGAGTGGCTTCTTACCTCGAGTCAGGCAGGTGTTTGGGGGGTGCAACTGAGCTGGGGGTCAGCCTGGGCTTGACTCAGTTGCCCTCTTTACCGGTGGGCACCAGAGCCTCAGGGCCTGTGGGTGCAGGAGGCTGTGGGAGAAAGAGGAGACAAGCTGTCAGCCAGCGCAGGGCCACAGGGAGGGGATGGGCATGCACACAATTGGTCTGATCCCCACCTGGCGGGGCAATAAATACTCATACATCTCACCCACACTCCCTCTCGCTGACACACTCACACACACACACACACACACACACACACAACACACACACACAACACACACACACAACATACACACACTCACACAACACACACTCACACAAACACACACACACTCACACAACACACACACTCACACAACACACACACACACTCACACAACACACACACACACTCACACCACACACACAGGCACACTCACACAACACACACACGTGCTCTCACTCACTGACACATACGCACTCATATGCCACCAGCTGGGGCCGGTGAGGCTCTGGGAATGGTGGGGTTCCTGGCCCCAGGTGGATGGGGTCTGAATATGCTTCCCCAGCCACTGGCCCTGTGACCTCGGGAAAGCCGAGTCTCTGAGCCTCGCTTTCTTCATCCATAAAATGGGGATACCGTCCCTCCTGCCAGGACTGCTAGGAAGATAAAAAGAGAAATGCGACTTGCAGCCTAGCACACCGGAGATGCCCAGCACCACCAGGGCCTGCCTGCCTGCCTTCCAGCCCTGTCCCAGGAGGCAGGCCCCGGGGCTGGCCCCTGACGCGAGCAGCCAGGGCAGCCGAGGTGTCTGTGGGCTGCCTGAGCCTCAGCACCACGCGCCCCCCCCCACCCCCCGATGCCCAAAGATGCCAAAGCTTCTGCCACCCACCCCTCCCTTTCCCCACCTCTTCTGGCTTATTCCTCCACCACACATTCTCCAAGGGTAACTAGGGACCCCCCCGCCGCCAGCCTCTGTGACTGGGAAGGACACTAGGGAGTCCTGTCTCCTTGGCAAGGCCCCAAGACACAGGCATCAGGTTGGAAATCTCCCAAGCGCTGGCTGTGCGGCCCTGGGCTCAGCTAACGGGTCTGAGCCTCAGGCTCCTCAGCGTCTTAGACAAAGGCCCAAGTCCCCTTCAGAGTCGTTGCCAAGAGGTTCCAATCAGACCAGTGTTTCTCAAAGTGGGGGACACATGCCACCATGGGGATCCTGGGTGGTGCATAAATGGTTTCAGTTACACAGGTATGTGTTCATTTTTCTGTGTATTAAAAAAAATTGACAGGCACATCACTGCTGTGATTTCGTGGATGTATGGCTCAGGGAGCGTTGGTAATCCACCCTCAAACCTGTCAACATACAGGCAGGATTCAGCAAACGAAGGTAGGTGGGCTCAGCGGTGGCTACAACCTCGGTGGTGGAAGAGAAGCACGGAAAGCTGGCACGTCACCTGGGCCTGGCTCCCAGCAGCCCGCACGAGGGTGAGCGCCCCTCCCTCCCTGGGAGGCCAGGGTGGGCCCTCCTTCCCGCGGCTCTCTGGCACAGGCCTAGGTCCCCGGGGCACTCACAAGCCCTTCAGATAGAACAGATGGAAGCATGGGCAGACAAGCTCAGAGACAGTTTCCGTAATGTGGGCAGAAGATGGTGAAGGCTCCTGAGTCCCTCCCCAAATCAACATTCTACCAAGTCTGAGGGGCAAATGGTAGCATTTCTAGCCATGTGGTAGGTGAAAATGGAGGGACTCTTTGGAGGCAAGAGTCTCCTCGTTTCAGGGGCTGCAAACTTCCCCTCCAAGAAGGAGGCAATGGGCCCCAAGCAGGTTCCAGGGCCCACCTTGGCCATCCCGTGCTGACAACAGAGCCACGAAGTAGGGTGGCCCTGGTAATAGGCCTGCCCAGCCCACATTTCACCAGCCCAAACTGTTGCCCCTGCTCTCAGCAGGCCCCAGGGGTGCCTCCTAATGGCTGCTGATCCTGGAGGACAGATAAGACACAGTGGTACCAACCTGGGACAGAGGGGTAGCCAGAGCTTGGGCAGCTCCTCAGGCCTGGGTCCTCCAGGCCAGGCCTAGCTAGGGAAGGTGCCCTCAGTAACCACCCAAGCTGGCTCCCGGCACACAGGCACAAGACAAACAGGCCCAGGCCAACCAGGCAGCCCTGGCCTGGCAGGCCTCCAGACCACCTGGCTGGTAGCCCTGTGCCTAATTCCACCTGAGCCGGCAGGGCGGTCATTCCCACAGTGCCACTCTAAGCCCCCAGCTGCCATATTCCCTGATAGTGAACGGGGACCCAGTCCCTTCTCCCAGACCTTCCTGAAGCTCCCACCCTCCTCAGTAGCATCACGAGGAGTTGCTATGGAAATGGGACCACAGGCAGAGCACGACAATGATTTGGAGCAACGGAGGAGACGCAGAGGGAGCCAGGAGCTGTCCTGGACACCAGGCCTGCCAATGTGCCAAGTCCAAGAAGGACATGAGATTCCAGCTGCAAGCCCCTTGGCCAGGGGCACGAAGGGAAGCCTGGCACAGGGGGAACTCCCTACCTGCCCTCCTGGCTCCTTCCCCTCAGTGGAGTCCAGGGAGGTCTGGAAATCAAATGCCTGTGTGTTCAACTGAATTAATATGCGCCCCAAGGAGCATGAGACTTCCACAGACACAGCTACCCCAGGACGCTGCCAAAGTGGGTTCAGTGCTGTGGGGGGTTGGCACCCACAGGTGCTCAGCGAACACTAGAATCAAAGGGGGTGGTACTGGCATGTGTGTGTGTGTGAGAGAGAGAGAGAGAGAGAGACAGGGAGAGAAACACAAAGAGAGAGAGAGAGAGAGAGAGAGAGAGAGAAATCGGCCTGCTCTGGTCAGCACAGTCACAGAATCACAGAGCTTGAGAGACCCACATCCATTGCATAGATGAGGAAACTGAGGCCCAATAAGGGTTGGGGTCACCCAGCAAGTCAACCAAAAAGTCAGACCCAAAACCCAGGTCTCCTCTTCCCCAGACCCGAACCCTCTACTCAGCACCTCCAGTTTTCCATCCATTCCTTCCTTCATTCTACTTTTGTTAAGTGCTTACTTTGTGGTTGGAGATTGGGATAAAGAGATGTAAAGGACAGAGCTCAGACAGAAGACGCCATCATGGTCAGAGCAGGGCTACTGGGGACTGCAGGACCCCAGGGAAGTTACCTCAGAGATTGCAGTTATACGCTTCTGAGCCATACTTCAGAGACACCTCCAGGTTTCCCTGACTTGTCTCCCAACTGCTCTTTCAGCCCAAGGCCCCCAGAAGCCCACACATGGAGGCAGGCCTCCAGTGCAGGACAGTCCTGAGCCCACCTGGGGCACTCACCTCCAGGAGGTAATGGGGGTATTCCCCATTAGCAACCCCCATCCCTAGAAATGAGGAACCATGAGGCAAGTGCCTTGCTACACTGGAGCTCAAATAACATTGGTGCCCTGACTGCCCTCCCCTCCCCCAGGCTCAGCACCTTAACGCATCGTTCATTCTTCTCTCCCAAGAGGCAGACATTGCCCTTGGCCTGGGGCCAGGCAGAGAGAAGGGAGCCCTGCTCATCAGTCATCACCCTCATGGAACTCAATTTCCCATGTCTGTCAGCAGCATGTAAACTCTCTCCTATAGTGTTTTTGGTTTGCTTGGAGGCTGGGGGGGGGGGGGAGGAGGAGGTAGTACTGAGAGGGCAAGAGGGGACACCTCCCAGAGCTTGGCTTGGAAGACCTGCCAGCTCTGCTGTATCCCATGTGGGCTGTGGCTCCCAGCAGCTGGTACAGACTCCCAGGGCCTATTTTGCACAGGTGGAACCCAGGTCGCTCAGCGCTGAGAAGGCAGGACAGGGAAAGAGCAGTGAGGACCGAAGGGAAGGGCTAGGTCCAGGGCTGTGGAAGTGGATGAAGGGGCTTCTGGGAAGGCTTCTTGTTGGAGGAGGGACCTGGATTGGCTCAGAGCCTGTTCTCAGGCTCCCAGTAGGAAGTGAGTTTCTCTGAGAGAGAGCTGGGCCAGGGTCAACCTGGCAGCCCACGTGATTTGGGGCTAGGCTGGCAGGTGAAAGGTCAAGGGGGATGTTCTCTGGTGACCATCCTGTCCCAACCCACTAAGGGCTGCCACAGCTGCCACCTCACATCCCTAATTACCACTGCCCAATAAGAAACCAGCAGGGGGGCCGGCCGAGTGGCAGGATGATTAAGAACTGGCTTGGGATGCCAGAGGGCCCCGGTTCGGATCCCACATATGAGGGCCAGTGACACTGCCCTCCACAGCTAAGATGCTGAACAACAGCTCAACCTGGAGCTGGGCTACTGTGAGTCGCCGGCAACGGCGTAGGCTGCAGCCCCTGTGGCAGTGGGTTGCCATGGTACCGTATGTAGCCAGCAGCTGCAGTGAGCGGCCCGTCCAGAAGCCTGCGACTGATCTGCCTCACCTGGGAAGAGCGCAATGATGGTGCCAACTTGGGCCAGTGAAGCAACGTCCTCCACAACTAGACAGAAGAACAAAATGACAGCAACTTGTCTGTTCCCCTTCCCCCAATTCCCCAATAAAATACCTTAAAAAAAAAAAAAAAAAGAAACCAGCAGGGGATGGAAAGCAGCAGAGACACAGAAAGTAGGGGCAGAATACACAAGAAATAGAGCAACCTGACCCCAAGCCAGGCAGACATGAAAATGGATGGACAGACGGGCCAGCCCTCCTCCCCCAGAGCCATGCTGCAGCTGCCAGAAGAAGCCTACAAACCAGAGCTCTGCAAAGATTTTTCAGCAATAAAATTCTTATTTGAAATGAAATTATATGCAGTGGGGAAAGCCTTTCTATGCCAGACATTAAATCCAAGAAGCATAAAGTGAGAAGTTGGTAAATCCACTACATAAACACGTAAAACCTCTGTACAGCAAAAGACACTAAAAACGAAGTTAGAAGGCAAGTGAGACACTGAAAGAAAATATCACTAATATACAAACAGCCCCTACAAATCAATAAGAAAAAAGGCAAAAGAAGAGAAAAATTGGCAGTGAATTAGAAATCCACAGAGGAAGAACTAAATTGGCCAATAAATGTACTTGAAAAGATGTTCTATCTCACTAGCAATCAGGAAAATGCAAAT